ATCGGGGATTTTTTTAGTTCAAGGACCAAAATGGGTTTTTAACCTTCAAAATATAATCATAGACTATTAGAGTGTTTTTTAATAGCATATTTGGATTGAAGAGAATGAAAAGAAGGGGAGGGGAAGGGGAAAAAATATTCTCAATTTAATTATCAAAAAAATTAAGAATGAGGAGAGGAACAAATTTTTCTTTACTTTAATTTTTCTTTTAATTTAATAATTTATACAAACGAAAAGAAAGGAGGAGAGGGGAATGGAGAGGAAAAAATTCTTCTCCATTCCCCTCTTCTCAATCCAAATATAAGGTAAGAGATAGAGATACTTTGCACTTTGCTTGATTATTTTATCAATACAAATTTTTTTGGTTAAATGTTAATTTTGATCCTTTAACTTTAAGATTTTGCATAGTTTTCATCCTTTAATTTTTTTTTTCATTTTTTGATCCCTTAATTATGAAAAATACATTTTTTTAGTCTTTTATTAGCTAATCCGTAAAGTCTATCTAAATTTGCACATTTTTACATTTTTAGTCTCTCAACTTTAAGTTGAGGGATAAAAAATGTGCATGTATTAGAAGTTAAGGGATTAAAAATATACAGATTTAAATAGACTTAACAAATTAACTAACAGAATGACTAAAAAAGTGTATTTTTCATAGTTAAATAATTAAAAAAATACAACAAAAAAATTGAGAGCCGAAAATTTTGTAAAACCTAAGTTGAGGGACCAAAATTGACATTTAACTTTTTTTTTTTTTTCATAGCAACTACAAATTTAAGGGATGGAGGATAAATCTTAATGGTCGGGCTTGAAGCCAAGACCAATATGCCACACCGTTGAGTCTTTTTATCATTGGGCCATGAACGTGATTGGCCCTCAATACATTATGAGTAGTTGTATAGAGAATGAAAATTTAAAATTAATGTTGCAGTATAAATTATATATATATATATATATATACATACGAACCTGACCTTTCGGGTCAAGTGACTCTAACCACGTTTGCAAGGTTCATATCCCATTCCGGACAACGGTTCGAGCCAACCCCATGACAAAATATTCAAAAAATAAACAAATAAATAAATTACATATATATACATATATATAATATTACATAAAAGGTATTGTTGGTGATGCTATAAATAAAATATTATATAAATTTGTTATAATTTTGTATAATATTAAATAAAATATAATATGACATCAAATGAATAAATACATATAATATTATAGATAAATTTTAAAAATAAAAATTAATTATATAATAGTATATCATATAAATTTATAAAATTTCATAATATTATAATTGTAACATTTTTAAAACAACTAATCATTAAATAATTTAAAATTCACCATTTTAATATTTTTTTTAAATAACGTGAAATTATCCCAAATTTGATCTCAAAAATTTCTAGTCCCATTTATCATTATCCATACATTATCAATCAATTTTCTCCAAAATAATAATAATAATAATAATAATAAGAGATTTGAGGGGTGACAAAGGCATGTTTGGCATGTGCATACAAGTTGGAAGTCTGTGATGATTGCTCCGAATTGCAGTATGTATATGGTAGTATGCTATGCAATTTTCATTTAGTTTCACTTTCACTTTCCCTTTCCACCACCCTTTCATTTCCCAATTGAATTTCCCCCGACCGCCGTCGTCTCTCCGGCTACGTCTCTTCGTCCTCAGGGTACGTTCACGTTTCGGTTTCCGATGCATTTTGTTGAGGTTGGTGTTTACGTGCTGTAGATCTGTTATTTTGTCGAGTTCTGATGTATTATGTGATCCGAGAGCACTGGTTTCTGTGTTAATCGTGTCTAGATCTGGTTTCCAATGTTTAATCTGGATCTGTTCTGCGCCGGTTTCGATTATGTTGTTTGCTGATCCTGTTTCAGTGAGCTAAATGGTCTGCTGTAGTTTTTGAGGCCTTTTTAGCTTATTTTGGTGTTGCAAGATTCAATGTGATACTATGTGCATCTGTTCCTGATCTCTATTGAAATCTAAAAAGTTCTCATTTTTAATTGATTCGAAATCTTCTACATTTATTTATTGTAAAAGTTAGGACTTTCGAGTGTGTATTCTGCTTGAAATTGTATATATGGCAAGATTTTTTTTTTTTTTTATTCTTTGAATTGAAATCATGCTGAAAGTCCAACGATTGACTCAATGAATGAAGTGGGACTGTTTTGTTAAAGAAATGTCGCTCTAGATATGATTTCTTCATTGTTTGGGTTTATCTCATTGAATATGTTTCTTTAGAAAAACTCTCCATGGCAGTAATTTTTGCATAATTTTGTTTGATAAAAGTTAGGGGAAATAGATTGAGTTAATGCAGAAGTGGAGTACTAGTTGTACAAAAGTGAACTAGCTTTGGTGCTAATAGTAGGATGAATTTGCCAAGACAGATACATTTAATGATTTAAGTGATTAACCGGGATGTAAAGCTGCTTCTTTTTGCTGGATGTTCTATCCATGAAACATTGGGGCCTCAGCTCAAGGGAGTATAGGATATCATCCAATGGATGAACCCTAATTTTTATTAAATCCATGGGACACCTATTGTAGTGTCATATAAGATTATTGCTGTATTTAACCTCTATTGTAATTTAATCATTTTACAGGTACAGCATTTTCCTAATTTCTTTCCATTGCTTTTGTAGGATTGTTTATGAAGCAGATAGAAACCTTGGAGGTCATATGCACATGGATGGACTACTTTACAAACGTTGAGGGATAGTCTTTTGGGTTATCACCGTCAACAAATATATAGAATGGCTCCAGCTAGCAGGGCTGATAAGAAGGCTGTGGCAGATGCAGCTGCATGGATGTTCAATGTGGTCACATCTGTTGGGATTATCATTGTCAATAAAGCCTTAATGGCTACATATGGTTTCAGTTTTGGTAAAGCACTTTGAAAGTTTCTTTAATTATTTTTTCTGTCGAACCATTCCTTTGCTCTGCCCTCCCTCCAAAAAAAAAAAAAAAACACTCAGAGGAGGACCAGGAATATAAACTGACATTATAAAAACAATTTTGACCATCAAATTCTTATTTCGATGTAAGAAGTGGAGGAGCAGAATTATAACTGAATTGATATCAGTGTGTAGAATCAAATAAAGAAGAATATTTGCATCATTTGGCCAGCTATTAGTTAGAAGCAGCATTTTGTTTTGTAGAAGAAGTTAGAAGATGGAATGAAATGATATGGTCATATGGGAGTAATAAGGCTGGGAAGAAGATTAGAACTAGTCAGTTGTTGAACCATAGATGCTATTTAAAGATTGGGTAGCTGCAACTAGCATCGGTTTGCAAGTTTGGAAGCTCAAGTGTTCAGTTTATGTGTTTTCAGAATATGATTATGGTTACAGTACAACTCTTGACCCTGGCATTTTTGTCAACTAAATTATTGCAGCTACAACATTAACTGGCTTGCATTTTGCCACTACAACCTTGGTGACAGCTGTTCTAAGGTGGTTGGGTTATATCCATCCATCTCATCTACCCTTCAAAGAGCTTCTGAAATTTATTCTATTTGCAAACTTCTCCATTGTTGGAATGAATATTAGTCTGATGTGGAACTCAGTGGGATTTTATCAGGTAAATATGTTTATATGCTGGGGTTTGGCTATTTATTTAGTTCAAACAATTTGGGTTATAATAAATTCTCTAATTCTAATGCTCAGATTGCAAAGCTGAGCATGATTCCAGTATCCTGCTTTTTGGAAGTCATGATGGACAAGATTCGATACTCCCGAGACACAAAGTTAAGCATAGCAGTGGTTCTTTTGGGTGTTGGTGTCTGTACCATCACTGATGTGAGTGTAAATACCAAGGGTTTTGTAGCTGCATTTATTGCGGTTTGGAGCACTTCTCTGCAACAATATGTAAGTTTTTCTCGCCTATATTAACTCAAGGTTCTCACTTTTCCAAATTGCCATTGTTGACCAGTGAATAAATAATTTCTCCTTTTCTTCCTGTTCTTCTTTCACGGTCAAGTAAATGGTCTCATAATGCAATGTCATCTTTTCTGTGCAGTATGTACATCATCTTCAAAGAAGGTATTCACTTAGTTCTTTCAACCTACTTGGACATACTGCTCCTTCACAGGCTGGAACCTTGCTATTAATAGGTCCATTTCTGGATTACTGGTTGACAAACAAAAGAGTTGACACCTATAATTATACCACAGTGTCTGTGGTAAGTACTAGACCAACTTGTGGCAGTCTGAAGAATTGCATGCATGTGGGAATCTTTATGTGGTTATCTTTGTGATTTCTTTCCCTTTGTGCTTATGACCTGCAAAATATCATGGTTGTTGTTTGTGAACACATGGCCACTTGCTTTTCACACATGAGTGCATTATACATATTCCTTGATGTGAATTTAGGAATGAAACTGGAAATTCTTAGTTCAGTTTAGTTTATAGAAAGGCAGTCAATTGCTGATCAAAAAGAAAAAAGGCAGCCAAATTGTGATTTTACAGCATGGTTTCTAATATGCAGCTTAAACATTGTATATTACTTGTGCTCTTTCTTTGTACATGCACATGTGCTGCTTTTATTTGCATGAGGCAGTGCTCTTACATAAGTTCTAGCCCACATTTGTAATTTTTGTTGGACAATAATTCTTAAACAAACTTTTATTTGGATCTTTTGGTATCTACAGATGTTTATAACCCTTTCATGCACCATTGCGGTGGGGACCAACCTCAGCCAGTTCATCTGCATTGGCAGATTTACTGCAGTGTCCTTCCAAGTACTTGGTCACATGAAAACAATCCTTGTGTTGATTTTGGGGTTTTTCTTCTTCGGAAAAGAGGGTCTTAATCTGCAGGTAGTTCTTGGTATGATAATAGCTGTAGCTGGAATGATTTGGTATGGCAATGCTTCATCTAAGCCTGGTGGAAAAGAGCGTCGGAGCCACTCTCTCCCTACCATCAGACAACAAAAACACAATAGTTTGTCAGAATCCAATGAACTTGAGGGGAAAGTCTAGGGGTCCCAATTTTAGAATAAATTGAGCATACAACGGGTAGCTGATTAAGGAAATCATCAGAGATTATAAAGCAAGCCATTGATTTAAATTATTTTGATCCTGATTTTGTAATTCTTATTGTATTGAAATTGAGTTCAGTTGAGGAAAAGGATGATAAAAGGATGATATTTGGATAGGGTTACTGGGTTAGGACTGTAGATCACACTTCCCAGGAAATTTTCCATTTTCCTTTTTTGGTAGTATAATTTATTTGTTCTTTTCACTTCGAGGGAGTTGATTTTTTTCTCCCTCTATTTTTGTATTTTAAGCTGTTATTTGAGTGCAATTTGATAGGCTAAACAGAGAATCCAAACTTCCTAGTTACAATTTTTTTTTTTTTTTTTTTTACATAGAAACGAGAGTCTAAACCTTAAATCTACAACTAATAAGACAGATAAGTTCACCATTAGATGATCCAAATTAGATCCCTTTGTTGTAAAAAACATGTGCTAAGAAAACTAGCTTTCTTTTGGTTAAAACAGTTATATACAACACTAGACAATGCATTCAAGAGGTGGGAGCATGGAAGATAATCTAATCATATAAAACACCCCTATGATTCCAGGCATACAACCGAGGATGAAGCAAAAGATTGAAATTCTTGGGGTTCACAAGATTAATAATCCATTCAAAGTATGAAAATCACATCCAAAATTGTCTTGATGACAATAAAACTCAAAAGCAAAATAACTCTCCCTGACAATATATATTTGTTTGAAATAACAACAAAAAGTTCAGCGCTTCTTAGAGACACCAACAGTCTTTCCTCTGCGACCTGTTGTCTTGGTGTGCTGACCACGGACTCGGAGGCCCCAGTAGTGCCTCAGACCACGGTGGTTCCTGTATTGACAGTGTGTACCAAAATTAGATGGTATCACAATATAAACTAGCACGATATTTGATAAAATATAACGACAGCAGAAGGTAGGACAAGTTGAGACAACAAAACACTTCAACATCCTTATTAAAGAACCAGACACCATAAATGGCATTAAAGAATGGTAAAATGTTTTCTGATGGCCAAAGCATCAAAGAAACATACAAGGTTAATCAAGTGCTTGGTTTTTTCACATAGATTCTTTTATTCTCATCAACATGTGTCATTCTGCTGAACTGCATGTAGAAATGATTTCTAGGGGTAGGAATTATATTGGCCACGGACTAAGCAAATATCATAACCGTATAAATAAAAATCCTTGTGATGGGATTTTCCTGAATCTATGATAAGAGCATTAACTAAAAGGCATGTAAATCAGGTGTTAGAAACATCAAATCTTGTCTCTACAAATCTTTAATCAATGGATATGACAAAAAATTATTACCTGATCTTCTTCAAGCGCTCCAAGTCATCTCTCAGCTTCATATCAAGGGCATTTGACACAACCTGAGAAAATTTTCCATCCTTGTAATCCTTCTGCCTGTTCAAAAACCAATCTGGAATTTTGAACTGCCTAGGGTTTGCAACAACCACCATGAGATTGTCCAACTCGGCAGCACTCAATTCACCAGCCCTGTGACAAAAAGTGACAGAAAGTACAATTAGAAGCAATGAAATAATAACTCTAGGTAAACATAACTTTCAATACTAATAGTATTTGATGGTTAGCATGGGTATAGGTCCTCCGTCCTCGTAATTAAATTGTCAATAAAGTAATTAACTGAGATCAGAACTAAAAAACATGTCATACAGAACAATATTTGGGGTGAAGATTACAAGATTACTAAAACCACATCCAAAATGAGCTATGATAAATTAGTGATAATTAAATGATTGACAATTAAGCCTAAATAAAACTTTCAGATTTCCAAGAGCAACTCACAATATTTTTGAAGCTAAACAACAATATGAAAAGAACAGAATTCTCCAATTCTAAAAATCTGCCAGCAATCCAACAGAGATATTGCATAAACATGAATGAAAAAAAGAAACAAAGATCTGACCTTTTGTTCATGTCAACATCAGCTTTCTTGCAGACAATGTTAGCAAATCTCCTCCCAATACCCTTGATAGATGTCAAAGCAAACATAATCTTTTGCTTTCCATCAACATTAGTGTTGAGCACACGCAAAATGTGCTGAAAATCTTCGTTGGCAACCAGAGACTGCACACAAACAAATAAATCCCAATAAATCGAAGCAAAATATACAAAAAAAAACTCATGCAACCAGTCATTGATATCCAGCTAAAACCTCAAAGCACAAAGCCAGTAATATACACATTAAATCCCAAACAAAACACGAATTGAAGCAGAGATTGAGCCTATCAACGAAAACTATCACAGATCGAGAAAAGCAAGAAAGTAAAAAAAAAATCGAATACAGAGTCCACAAACAGATGAGAGAATCCGATAAGTAGAGTTTTCGCGTACAATGGAGATTTGAAGGAGATATATAAACCCTAAATTACCATTTTGGATGCAGAGATTTGCTCCGGGAAGAGGAGAGGCTCCGGGGAGTTCAGCGAGCAGAAACGGACGGCGCAAACAGAGGAAAGCTAGGGTTTTTTAAGTCGTTTATATATGCAGTCTGCTTCGCTTATTTTAGGGTTTTGTGAGGTTCACCTTTAAAAGACGATTCTGCCCTCTTTTTTCCTCTATAATACCGGAAAAGTCCAACAACTCGGTTTGGTTGGGTTTGGAGTAATTTTTTCGCATTGTGTTTTTGTATAACACTTTATAAAACTATTTGTTTATTATAATTAAGTTAATTTTAATTAATATTTTATATAATTTAGTGGTCATGTTAATGTCTCATATTCTTTTTAAAATACTTATTAAACAATAAAATAATTTTTTACATAATAAAATATTAAAAAAATTACTTTCATAACATTTCATAATAATTTTAAATATAACCCCAATAATAAATATACATATTTTTTATTAAGAAAAAAAAAAAAGAGCGTTGCATAATTAGACCTACTCATCTCTTATAGCTTTAGTCACCATGCTCGCATCCTGTAAATTTGTAAAAGTCCTTAAAGTTTTATTTTTTTAAGTTTTTTTAAACAGATACAATTTAAAAATAAAGAATGTAAAATTATAATATGATAATTATATGATTCGAATTTTAATTATTATTAAAATATTAAATGCATTTATTAAGATGTTAAGTACACCTATTAAATGACTCATAAAAATTAATGCTTAAAGTTTAAAAAATGAACGTTGTTATTTGAATCAAAGAGAAATTATTATATCACATGGATTAAATACATAAATAATAACGATTGTACCCTTAAAATTACTTAACAAAACATTAGTAACTCAAATTCAGAAATGATTGTGGGTGCGCCAACTTGAAAATGGAATGAGAGCAAACACAACATTATGATCTCACATGAACCCTGTTTTACAATATTTACCATACACTGACTACTATGGCATTTGATGAATAGATACCTTTTTAGCCAAGCCACATCCTCTAAGCAAATTGATAGGTCTTGGGAAGAAGAAAAACCATACTGATAATCCTGAAGTTAAATTGATGTTACATTGAAATAGTACAGCCTAATTCTTTGGCAGCTGTGTGAAGAAATTTAATTGGCATTCCTCTTCCAAGTAGGCTATGAACTTCCCATGTTAGACACTTCTCGATGTTGGCTTGCCAGTCAATGACATCTACACTCAAGTACTGATCATAGGATGGACCATGGATGCCGTTTCTTTGCACTGATTTGGATTTAGATTTGACTGATCCTGTGTGCAAAATATCACGAAGAACTGATATGCTGAGAGCTCGAACATGGGCACTAGGATGAGAAAGACATTGGATGGTAGCTGGTAGACGACACTGCATGAATCAATCCATTAAAAATCACCTGGTGAAGATCTTGCACAAGTATAGAGAAAAGATTGAAAAGCATAAACAGAATCTATTCAGTGTTCTTTCCCTGTTGTCTATTTGCTGTTAAGGTTGAAAGATTGTGTAGTGAGACATTTAGGCACTGGCATTTCCAATTACAAAGGGTTTTTTAATCTTGATTGGAGATTGTTGGCTCACCTTGAGCAGGTTTGAGAGGCCATCTGCCACAGCCAGTCCAGATTCTCCCCACTCCAGCACAGTATGAACTGCTCTTGCTGTTGCTTCCAGCAGCTGCTTGCAAACAAGAAACCATACGGGTTATATTTGAAATTTCCTAGCATCAAAAAGCCTTCAACCACTCTTGATATGATGAGTAACAAGAAATGTTGGAAAAGTACAGATTGGTTAATGGTATAGTCTCCTATTTATGTGAGTATGAGCAGAAATGGAAATTTCTAGCCTTTACCTCCAGCTGCGGTAAAGTACAAACTTCTCCATAAACAAGCATCCCATCCGTTGCACGTAGGAGTAGATCTGATGCACTTGCCACAATTACCAATGATTCTGGGCTATCATGATTTCTCATTAGCTCCACAATCAATTTTACAATACGCTGGTTGATTCTCCACATCTTCTGACCTTGCTCGTTATCTTTTGCAATCCATGGCTGCAATTCCCTCTCCGCCTGACAAACATACAAGGGCAGGAAAGTGACTAAACAAATGAAGCAACCAAAATTGAAACAAACAATGAAACAAGGCTGCTGACTTGGACACCAATTAGGTGACAGAAAATGAAACAGCAGTTACATATCTAGTTAGGCCATATGCTTTAATAATTCCCACTCATACAATTGTGTGGCCTTTTAACAAAAACATAGGGTTATGTCAGTGACCACTGGGAAAACTGAACAATTAATTTACAAGGTGAATGGAATTTGAACCTGAAGAATAATTGCTGTAGCTGCTTTTGTTGGTGTTGCTGATACAACATTGCATAGGGCATCAACCACCTATATCATCCAAATAAGATGGTCAAAAATTAAATTTCAATGGAAAAGATTGATGAAGATATGAATGGTATAGCTTTGGAAATTGGACTGACTGAAATATTATGAACAAATTGTTGAAAAACAATCTTGCATGTACTATTAGACATGCCAGGTTACCTGTCTCCATCCTTGCTGGGCAGATGTGCTTTCCGCACTGGGTTGTGTTTCAGGAGCTGCAATCAGCTTGTGCCATAATAGTGAAACAACAGAGAAACATAATTCTTGTTTCTCTGCAAGAACTGATCTTAGAAGAACTTGTGCACTGCAATTAAATCCTAAATGCCTGTCCATGGTGAGAAAATTGGCTAAATCTGAAGCATCCGACGGGAAACTTGCAATACCATTACTAATGCCATTTCCAGAACCATCATTAGAATGGAATGCTCTCTCACATCTGAGATTATTTTCTGAATGGGATGATTCTGCACATTCTGAAGTAGATGGCTGTCCTGGATCAAAGCAAGAGGTACTTGCACATTTGTTCTGTTTTTGGGCATCTAAACAGGAAGGGGAATCTTTCCAAACAGGTGCATGCATTAAGCATGCTTCTAATGGTTCAGCTTTGTCAACTATGGATGCAACAGCCTTGCTGTGAATATCAATGAGATTATATAGTGATGATGCCCTCTTGTAAATTTCATTGTCCCATTTGCATCTCATTAAGACAGAGAGAGCATGCATGCAAGCCTTAGACTGTCTAAATAGTTCTGAAACATGAGCAGCAACCATAGCTGCAGCAACTATTTCATTTGAACTGTAACTCCATGAGGTACCAACAGAAGATGGCTTCAGAGAAAAAACTGCCTCCAAAATAGCTAAGATTCTATGAGTATGATGAATAGCCGAGTCAACACTATGTCCAAAGTCATTACAAGATCCATTTATTTTTGCAGGCTTGGCTAAAGCTCGACCATCTTTGGTGGTTGAATGATTAATCCCCCTTGAATGATTAATCCCCCTTGAGACCATAGGGAACAACTGAAGCTCACATGCAAGAGCACAAACAGCAGCCAGAACATAAGAATCAAATGCAGCTATAGGTCCTTGTCTTTTCCTCTTTCTAGTCTTTGATTCTTTATGCCTTTCAGGTGGCATCTGGGACTCTTCAATGCTTTCATCAGGAGGATAACTTTCTTCAACTATCGGTCTTTTACTCCCATTGGACTGAGCTTCATGGCTAACACACACAGTTAAGACAACAAAAAGTAGGCGTGAAGCAAGCTCGATAGAGGCAGAAGATTCCAGAAAGAGTGAATGAACCATTGTACGTAGCTCTGCAACAGCAAGGTTCTTAGAGGCAGAACCCATTCCATATCTTGCTTTCCTCATCAGCTCCTCTGAGGACTCAGGTGGAAAAGTTCTCTGGAGAATTGCTTCAACAGTAGCTACAAATATCTTCATGAGACAAGCTTCAGATGGGCTTCCTCGTGGAAGGTATTCCAGGACCTTCAGGAGAGGTATGTACAGATTCCATGATAGTATGGGAGGTTGCAATGGGGTCGCAACAATGATTTCGGGAAGATCAACTGCTGAGGAGCTTAAGGGAATTAGTCCATAAGCGGCTTCCCATATGGTACAAATTCTCCATTCCACCTCAGGCCCATGGGCACAAAGCATAGATGCAATTCCTTGGGCAGTAGCTTCAATGGTGGCTTCAGCAGCAGGCACTTCTATCTGATCAAAGTGATTTTAAGATAATTATTCAGGTGCTATTTGCAGAATGCGCATGAAACATATAACCGAAAGGCAGAAGCATGACAAAATAATATGCAAACTTTCAAATGGGATAAGTTTTACCTGCTTCTTGTAAAATGAATCATAACAACCTGAAGGTTCAAGCTGAATTTCCACTCCCTCAACCTGTCTCAATGGAGGAAAAAGCAATGCAGGCTGCGACAGTATGCGAAAAAGTAATGCTGCAGCAGCATCAGCAGCTATTCCTACTCTCATAGACATTGCTGTCCCAATTGCACGCAAAAAATGCAACTGCATCCAGTTCCGAGGAAGCTACATAACATAGAACAATTTTCTTAGACAGATGGAAGAACCATACCAGATAGCATAAGTTGATCAACTTACTCAGAACTAATTATCTACTCCCTTGAGCAAACAATTGGTTTTAAAAATATGGTGCTTCTATATAAGCAAGTTCTTCCTACTGTAAAAATTCTATACAAAAATTTAGTGACATTTATTTGTGATTCGGTCTCCAAACGGAATGCTAATGGCTATCTGAAGCCATTATTTTAATGATAGAATTATGGTGTAGCTGTAGCATTCAGCAAGCACAGTGGGTAAACACGTGCAGATAGAAGGAACTATTTGCACTTTGCTACTTCCAACAACCACCAGTCCCCACTTTTTTCGGTCTTCTACTAGAAAAAGCCCATATGTTTGCTAGTTTTAAAACCCACACAAAGTCTTAAAAAATCATCCTTGAAGCACACAATCTTTCCCATAGAGCCTCCTCAAATTTAAATTCTAACCAAAGAAACCCACAGCTATCTATCTCTTTTTCTGCTGAAATCTTTTCCCAAAAAGAAGATTGCATGAGTTTATCTGCTATCAAGCGAAATTCGACAACCTCAGTTTCTTCCTTTATGTTTTAGTAACTATATTTTCTATACTCAAACCTCAACCCTAAATTTCTCCTGTTTCAAAATCCCAAAAATAAAGCCTAGATTAACTCTGCTGATTAGCAGACACTGCATAACTGGCTTCAATTAATAACTGCTGTTTCTGCCATGTATAAGCTAGCCCATGTGGCATAGCAAAGTTCCAGCAATCACTTTTGTGGAGAGAAATTATATATTGAGGTAAAAAATATAAAACTCAAGCAAGGTCTTCCATAAACATCACAGCATATCCAAATAAATGCCCAAATGATATCTAACTTACCCTTATACCAGATGCATAATCTTCAGCGGCGCGAAGGAGTTCCACAAGCTGAACTGCTGCATCAAGAGCATCTGGGGCCCATGATGGTGGTGCTTCTAGAAGCCCAAGAAGAAGTCTTTGTGTGGCACTTGGTGTTGCAATGGCATAATATCTGACAGGAAAAAGAAACATGAAAAGAGTACAAAAATGGAACACAACATCATGGAGTACAGAGCCCACTGGCAATTGCATGTTGGACAATCTTTGACATGATACCTAGATCTAAAACTTAGTATAAATGCCAACTTATAATGATATTATAACCTCAGTCAACTACTAGGTTATTGCATTTGTTTTGAGTCCCTTATTACCAAGGGCATAGACATTTGTTAAATATGAATTGGCACTCGCAGATGCACAGGCAAACTACCATCCGGTACCTAATCCCCTAACTCCATAGTGGCTCAAGCAAGCATCCATCCCTCTATTCCAGATGCAACTGCTTTGCCTAATGCCTTTTGGACATTGCAAAACAGAGCACTTGATACTACCTTGACTTACTGTGAAACAAATATTATGATTAACAAGGCTGAATCAGAAACCATGTAAGATTCAGAAATTTACCGATGAAATAAACGTGCATATGGCTCAAGAGCTGGTAGTCCTGCAACTAAATGCTCATCCAGAGCTGTTGTTGGGGGAGGAAGTAGAAGTGCAGGTACTGCTGCAGCCGTCAAAGTAGGTGTCTCATAGCGAGCAACTTCATCATCACACACACTTAAAATAACACCAGCACCATTAGCAACAGCCCACCTTGGAGTTGATGGCATGAGTTGAGGATGCTTTCCAGATCCACGAGAATAAGCTATGAGAAATTAGCAATCAAATGATGAGCTTTAAAGTCTAAAATCACTTAGCTCTAGTGGTTAAAATGACCAAATCCGAAGACTTTGAGTCAAGTTTATCTTTGTATCTAGCAAAACTGCAAATGAATTTCATAAGAAATCTCTATATTCAGAAATCCTCATGTTAATTGATTCATTGTGTAATAATAGGTTCACTAAAATTTGAAAGCCACTAATATGGATACTAATGGTAGTTTCCACTAAACTGTATTACATGAAATTCCTCACTTATATAGAATTATAAATAGTATAATAATTGCCACATGTTTTCACCATTTCCCTATTCTCTAGATTTGACACTGAATATTCCACCTACTTGTCCAGTGATGTTTTTCCAGAAACCCACTTCATAGAATTGCTGGATAAATAATTTCAATTCCAATGATCTGATAGGAACAGGTCTTACAATTGAAACTTATCTTCAAGAAACTCCATCTCACACATGAAACTAGCCAAGGTTATTTAAAAAACTGAAACTTATTATCTCAACACAAAATTAATTCGTTTATACATGGCAATGATTCAGCAGAAGCAAAAAGAAAAAATAGACTTCTGACAAATGGATTTACATACCAGATGCAGGTGGCTTGAGGTCCCCAGCTGCATATTTACCCATAACACCACTGCACCTGTTAATGCATGCAGATGCTTTTGAGCTTTACAAATAAGGGCACTATGAAATTAGATCTGTTCATAGAAAGGAACTAACATAAAAAGAACACATCATTCAATTTCAATTATGTGAAATTTCACTACCAATTAATTCCCATTAATTAACTTTCTTTGCTTCCAGCTGCCTTATGGCCTGAGAGAATGGCACCATGCATGTTGAGGTCCTATGTCGAGCCCAAATAAGCAATTCTTAAAGAAAGGGGAGTGGAAAGGATAACCTATTGGAACCTAAAAGCAATTCACAGATTTTTATAGATAACTAATATAGTTAATGCAGTGTTTACATAACAAAATAAACGCTAGAAGAACCTGAAAAAAAAAATGCAACCCCTAGGTTCTGTTACCACATGCTGCTAATACTTGGGGAACTTACCCAACAGACATTTTACTTTTCAATTTTTGAACCTTTTTTTCCTGGTTGAACCACTCAGACCATCACCAAAGAAAAGAATATAAATCTTATGTACTTATATAAATTAAAATAAAATAAAGAACTATATAGCAGCCACCAGTACATTTTACATTAGCATTGTAAAGACTGGACTAGCACACACTATCAACCTTTTAGAAGCAAACTGAACCTTCAAATTAAGAAGAAAAAACAACATAGATCCATGGTAAAGAGCATACTTACCAGCGAAAGTAGTCACTTCTGATACCCAAAGGTGCGGCAAGCAATATATCAGTAACCCAAGGAGATAAGGGCCTCCAAGGCTTCCTCTCTTGTTGCATCAAAGGTATTTGGCAGGATGATTCCCCATCTTCAGAATTTGTCCCAACATTACTGCTACTAGCGGTTCTATCTGTTTCACTATTTGGATATTCCATCTTATATATTGGACGGTTGTAATGAGTCAAAATTCGCAAGATCTCCCCACAAGCCAGAGCCCACTGCTCAGAATACTCATTCTGCAGAAAGGGTAGATGTATATGCATCATTAATGTATTCCTCTTCAGCTTGAAAATGAATTTCATTCTTTTAGTCCACAAACTAGAAAATAAATGATACAACTTAGGATTGAAAATCCTTAAAAAAAAAAGAAAGAAAAGAAAAAGGGTAGAGCAGAAAATACAGCCCTTCAAATAAGACAATATGTATAGAATAAAATGAAAAAAAAAAAAAAATCAGATATAACCAGATTCACTCTTAAGGCATAGTACCTCACTACTAGGGCAGACTAACGAAATGAATGAAGCAAATGGAGGGCTAATCTTATCATACACCATTGTTCCATCAATGATACATGAAATAATCGGAAGAAGAACAGCATGGCCATGCTCTGGATGATGAAGGACAAATGTAGCTGTAACCAATTAAAGTCATAAAAGGCTGTCATTCAAAAGCTATAACAAAATATTTCATTGATGTATTAATTAGAAAGGATTCAATAATTTTATTTGAAAGAACAGGACCAACAGGAGAAGAGTCAATACCCAGAACATCATCAAAGAGGCGCTTTTCATTTGATGGATAGCTTCTGCGAATGAGCTGTCACAAGAATGGCTATCAGAACATTTATCCTTTTTGTTTATGGTGATAGATAGATAAGCAGAAATTGTTGAAAAACACAAATTACTAACTCTTAAAGAAGTCACGTAAATGTTCATGCTGATTACAAACAAATTAATCAAATGCACGTTCCTTTCAAATTCTACTGGACGGGATATAGTTATACAAAGATAAAACATACCTCAGCAATATCATCAGGGAATTGCTCTGATGTGAACTGGCCAAAGTACTCAACATATGCAGTAATTTGAGCCTATACAAAAGTAGGTTTCAAGAAGCACCTATATTAGTAAACATAAATAAATATCTCCAGAAAAACAGATTAGATAATACTATTAAGACTTAAAATACTATATAAAATTGCATTCCTAAATTAAGATTAGAAATTTCGTCTAATGCTTGAACTATCAGGGCGGGATGTTGGCTATCTTATAGAGTTATTTCAAGGAATGGGAAAGTTTTGTTCTTATTCTTTTCGTCTAAAAGAAGTTGTAAGCAAAATTTAAAGATGCCTACACTAAAACCATCTCAAAAATCAGGCTGTATTTGACATCTCCTATTGCTAACATGAAAACACAAGTTCAAACTTCAAACCCACCCAGCTCACGACTTGAGTTCAAACATAAAAGCATTAAGAAACATTAAAAGAAAGAATATGAATGAAAGGGGCACATGTGAAAGCAAGTCAACGCAGTAGTAGAAAAAGGAAGACAAAATAGTACCTTCCGTTGTTGAGGTTCTTGTGGAGGAGGCCAGAACAATGAAGAGAATGAAAGGCCATCAATCCAGCTCTCGGATGAACTAGCCATGTGGTACAGAATTTCAATTTACCTTCCAAAATAAAACCTTGTTATAATCAGTCATAATAAGAACACCAAAACCAGAAACTTAAATAAGTTAGAACACTGCAACAGCTACCAATCAAGAATCAGAATGTCGTAATTCAACATCCCGGGCAGCAGATTGCAGCGAGCCGAATTCCGCATATTACCAATCAGAAAATTAAAAATCCGGCTTAATTATGTCCAAGAAGAAGAATTATTGCATTGCATCTTCCTCAACAAAATCGAAATTTTCACAACATTAAAAAAGTATCTGTTTCTAACAGCCTCAAACTACCAAAACTTGTACAAAAATACTGTCAGCTGTAGAAAACAAAAGTAATAGAAAAAATGAGACCAAAATTTCATTTTTTTTTTTTTAAATTCAAATTTAAAATCACCATAAATCATGAAACAGCAAGAAGCAGAGCTTAAATCCGAATATCAGTTTAAAAATCTACAAAAATCATTAACACAGAACAATAAACTAAAATTTAAAAAAAAAAAATTAAAAACACATTAAAAGAAAAAACAGACAATTAAGTACCTGGTATTCAGTGTCTTGAAATAAAAATTTTCTGTTTTTCTTTTCGTCCGAACAACTTTAAAAAGAAAGAAAAAAAAAAGAGAGAGAGAGGAGATTTTTTGTGTGGAATTATCTGAAATTTTGTTAGCTTTGCGAAATTATTGAGAGGTGGTGGAGTTGTTCAAGTGGAGGGGAAAAAGGAAAGGGAGAAGAAGAAAGAAAAACAGAAAAAAGAAGATATCTTTTGGAATGGGGCTGCAGCAGTACGCGGTTCGCTAAGGTTGCTGCGGACGTGGCACTGATATTTTCCGCTCAGGGACTGTAGGCCAAGTGTCACGTCATTGTACTGTACCTGTGCATGTATGTGCTGTTTCACATCATCTCATATTGCCATGGGATGATCAAATTGCATTCATGCTATTACGTTACTGTTTTCTGCTTGTAATGGAACACTTACTATTTTTGTTATAAAACAGAGATACATACAGGGATAAATTTTCAATGAATTCCATTATTTAATGGTTAAAATTTTGATATTTTAAGTTAAATATTTCAAATTCAAATCTTGAATCGAGTGGAAAGAGATTTAAAAATAAAAATAAAAAAGCTATCCCTTTTATATATCCTAAAATTAGATTTATAAAAAGAATATAGGGATGAATTTTTTATATAATTTTTATATGTTGTTGAATAAATAAATATATTTAAAATTATTATTTTTAAATAAATAAAAAATTAATTATTTAAATAATAGATAAAATTGTATTAAAAATTATCTATAAATTATTTTTTTATAATAATTAATAAATTAATCAAATTAAGTACTTTTTGTATTTATTTTTAACAAAATCTTCTCTTATTAATAGATTACAATAATAAGGGTAAATTTGAATATACTACCTCCACTCAACATTAGTAATATTAATTTAACTTTTAATTTTTAAATATAAATTTTAGATGTATTTTTAACATATTACATAAATTATAACTAATTTTTTTATTAAAAATTATATATAGGAAAAAAATTTTAAAAATACTCAACAAAAAATCTATATAAGAAAAAAAAGTTAATTTTATTTATATAAATTATTAAATTTTTATTTAAAATTTTTGTTTACAAAATTAAAAAATTAAATTAAAACTATTAAAATTTACTAGAAGGAGTAAGTATTTTATATCCCCTATAAAATAAGAATGAAACAACTAAATGAAATATCTTAAGTTAAAAATATAAGTTAACTGGATAAAACCAAAGGAGAACGAGTTGTATTTTTTTTCTACCACATATTAGCACGTGCTTAGATAAATATTAAAGATTTTTTTTTTTTTTTGACATTGAGAAATTGAGGGAAGGGGTAGTTGTTTGGGTTAGAATTTAAGATTTAAATGTCTAAATATTGTTTTTTATGGAAATGATCATTAAGTCACTTGGTACCAGATGAATAAATATTAAAGATTTACTAAAAGAGTAAAGGTTAAATATCGGCCTTCACATGAAAAGTTTCTCTTCTATAATGGGGACCTTTCTTTGTTTAAAGTTGTACAATTTGGTATTAGAAAGGTGTTTTATAATTTGGATTAATTTAACTTGTAGAATAGTAATTGTCCTATAAAAGTTGAGTTTCTTAGTATTAATTTTTTTTTCATCAATTAATTTTTATTTTACAATTTAAATAAATTTAAATTATCAAACAAAATACTCATTTGATATATATAATTGAGTTTACAAAATTACTAGACTAAAAAAAATTTACTCTTTTTAATTCATTATTATTTTTTTTTTAGTTGTACAATGAGAGTCAATCATCTCTCATTCCTTATCTTACTCCACCCGCATATTATGTAACTTGAATTTAAGATCTCTTATTTCTAGTGAAAGAAAATAATTATTGAGTTATTTAAATCATTCACTTTTTCTTTTTTGATAATCAAAATTATATTAATAGTATCAACATATATTCAAAAGGGAGGAGGGAATGTTAGGCTTGACCTGGAGAGCAAGGTGCCCCCACTTTATTGCTTAAATGAAAAGCGTTACCACTAGATCACATAGTGATTAGCTAAGTCGTTACTTTTTAATTCATTATTAAGATGTTTTTAAATTAAATTTTTTATGCTTTTAAACTAAGTTTTCCTTTAAAACTAACTTTTCCTTTGAAACTAACTTCTTTAAATATTAAATTCAAAATTTAAATTATAAATTTAATTTATAAAATAATATTTCTTTATTAAAAATTTCAACCCTTAAAAGTTGCAATCTATCACATGGTTGATGGAGTTTGCTTTCTATATTTGTCGACTCTCCATGACAAATTAAAAAAGACATATCAAGATGTTTGTTGAGTATTTTATTATGGGGTGTTGTCAAAGATATTTTGGAAAGGGTTCGGTGTCGTTTCGTCTCAAGCTTTAGAGTACCTCATAGTGTCCTACACTATGATCGGTCGGTCGCACAGTTCATCAAAGGAATATATCGCTTTGTTGACTTCTTTATAATAATTTTATTATTTTTTTGAAAAAATATTTTATAATTAAATTATTTTATATTATAAAATATTAATACTTTAATAAAAAAAACCCGTTTGATGTAGAAGTTATATTTTTTTAATATATTTCATAATAAAATATATAATTATCAAGTTATAAAATTTAAATATGTATAATTGAAAATAATTTAATTATAAAATAATATATTTATTATTTTATATGCTAATATTTAAATAAATAATTAAAAAGAACATCTTTCTCATGTCATTTTGACTTCTTTTTTTTTTAAATAACACTAATGGGTCCGGGGTCACGGACGCTTGTTCCCCTTATGTAGAGGCACTAAATATTTGTAAATGAAAACAATTTACAATTGCTCTATTATAGTTACTCAAAACTGTAAATACTTATATTATTAAAAATAGAGTTAGGACTTACTTGTATATAATATTTATAAATATTATTTACATAAAATTTTGTTTGTTTATCTCATTATTGTGAATTGATAATATTTATTTGTTTTATTATTTTTTATAGATAATTATTTTTTATTTAAAAAATTATAATAATTTATAATAGAGAGGTAAATAATTAAAATTTTATATAAATAATATGTATAAATAAATAATAACTCTTAAAAATATTGTCACTAAATGTCTCTAAAGGGTATCTAAAATAATAAAATTTTGAGATATTAAATTAAAATTCCCAAATTCAAACTTTAAAATAAATAAAAAGAATAGTTAGATAGCACTCATAATATTTATATGTTTAAAAAAAAAGCACATACCAACGACATGTTGGTACAAATGAAAAGAGTTTGATTTCTTTTAAAAAAATTTTGAATTTGAGTCATATGAATGGAAAAATAAATATCGAAAGAGCCTCTCTCCTAACAAAATCTGACGCAATTCGATTCTAAATTAGTTGGGATCTAATGTGGTTACCTGATACTAAAATATTAATATCAAAGGAAAAAAAAAAGGAAGAAGGCGCATCAAGGTCAATTGCTAAGTCATTAATTATTTAATTACAAAAATAAATCAACTTTTTCATGTGCACTACGTTTGGTGGGCTCTTGAACAGGCTGATACTACTGTATATTCTCACATTTGCAAGTGCTGGGTTGAATTCTCCTCCAACACACATTTGCTAATTTGCAACTTGTTGAAAAGAATCTAGGTACATTTGTTCTAATCCGAAAACAAAATAAAGTGGAAAAGGAGTCAAAAGCCGATTACTACCTAAGTTGGCCACTTAACCTCTAATTTGTAATAGGATTTCACGTGACAATATTTTCGTTCACTGATATAATAATATATTAGCATGTGTAGTTCTAATTTATAATTATGTAATTAATAAATTATGATAAATTAACTATTATTATATTATATACTAAACAATGAAATTACTGGTGTAATATCCCAAATTGATCACTTAGCTTCTCAAATTTAAGAAATTTTTGGTACAGCAAGATATCACACTATAACAATATTCTCAAATACTATAATATAATAATATATCACCATTTGTGGCCTTTATTTATAATTAATTAATGAACAAATTAATTGTAATAATTTAAATTTTAACTCTTTTGTAATAAAATAA